GGGGGGGGAGGGCACGACTACTACTACTTTCTCGGGGGCGTCCTGGGCCACCATGTTCGACAATAAGCCAAGGCCCGTGCCACATAGGCAATAGGAAGGGTTGGATGAAACTCGATGTAGCGTGGGCCCAAGGCTTTGCGGCCTGGCTGAGCAGAGGATGGTGCGGACTGGCCAGTGGTTTCAGGGCTGAAACTCATGATCCTGATCATCATAAACATATATATATACTTAAAAACATCTGTAGTGAAATCCAAGACCCAAGGCGAGCACAAGCAAAGTATAGGCGAGCACAAGGAGGCAAAACGATGCAAAAGAAAAAGTGTTTCTAGCTTAGAAAGACACAACGTGTCACCTTGTTTCACCGGTTCATCTCAGGTTGACAAAATAACGAACAGAATGGGCACATTAAATTGTTCATCGTGCTTCAACGTTCTATGTGCTTACAAAGCCACTTTTCTTGCAAGATCTCATCGCAAGTGACATTTGGACATCTGGGCCAAGCGGGATTGCATCTGCTGGTCACAGGGCTCAGGTGTGAATTCGAAGTAGTAGTTGTCAAAGTGGTGAGGTACAGTCGCAAAGTCGAAGTGATTGTGGACACCAAACTGATTGACCTGTCCAGCTTTAGCGGGGCACCACATGGAATTGTGGGAGTTTGGGCAAATGTCCACAACCACAAACTTGTACTCCTCGTGAAAAATCTTGTCCTCTGCCGGTGTCCAAATCTTAAAGCCTCGTGGCAATTGTCGGACAAATCTCCCCTTGCCGCAGGATCCACATCCCATGCTGGCAGTGTGTCCTCCTCCACCATTTCGATTGCATCGGCAACATCCATCCTGCATGGCCTGCGCAGAAGCCACTGCCAAATACCCAGTCCCATGCACTAGTGCAGCTGAATCGAGGCCGCAAGCGGTGTGGGGATTGGTTCCATATCGCGTAGAAGTCGCCATAAACCGATAGTGCCGGGGGTGGGGAGGAGGGGAAAAATCACTCCGATTCTCCTCCAAGAATTCTGTGATCACGGCTCTTTCTGAGCGAAGGGTCAGAGCTTGAACTGTGGCAAGCACAGCACAAAGCTGCACGAAACGGAACGTCATGGAACCGTGAGGTTTGCCGGTTCGATAGCGAGAGTTCAGCTGCAATGCTGAAGCCAAGTGCACACACGTTTGGAGTGCAGTCAGCAGTCAGACAGTCAGAGTGTCTACTTAATATACATACATACATACATATATATATATAATAGATTAACAATGTTCAGGATGCAAATTCAAAGTGCATTACAAATTATACCTTGTATGCCACGTGTTTTCACAAGCAGGTACTATTTGGGTGCTATTAATTGGGGGGAACGAGCGCTCCAGCTTTTCTCTTTCTACGAATCGTCAGCATTGGAGTCATCATGCTTGAACTCCAAGTCACCTACGCTAGTTCTACCCATCAGGTTAGCCAGATTCGCACCCACTGAGTAGCGATTCAACATCATGTTGGTATTGGAAGGATTCGGCTCCTCATCCAGGGCAAGGATTGGGAAACCCTCTACTGTGCCAAACCCCGGCTTCTTGCGGTTTATCACCGTGTCAACCCTGTCCTCGTCTGATAGCTCTTTGGCGGCCTCTTCATCAAATTCCACACTGAGCCGTCCAGAGTCAGAGACAAAGCGTTGGAAGTCTAGGACCGCAGCCACTTCAATATTGCCGTCTGCTCCGTCGGTTGTCAAGCGATTCCTGCTCATGGAGGCCACGCCGTTCGAAGCCTCAAGCTTGTCCAGCCTGGGATGAAAACAACCAAAATCACTCGAGGTTTGTTAAAGCTTCTTTTGAGCAAGACTTCTTGAAGAAAAAGTTGATGCTCATTCACTAGGTTCATCAGTTCCTGAGCGCTCCACTTGCTGCCCACCCGGGTGTAGCTTTGTCGCTTGGAGTAGCTAGACCGTCTGCGAGGTCCAAAGCTTCCGAAGGCTTTGGAAAGCCGCTTGTTCGTCCGGGCATCAAAGGTCACCCCTACATCGGGACAGGAAAGTACTGGTCGCCCCCGCGTCCAGTGCTGACTATTGACTATGTTACAAATCTTCTTGTTTCGTTCATGAAGAGGTTTAAGTAGCTAGTGGTTCAAGCAGTTATAGTAGTTTTGGGTAAGTATGAGTAGAATTTTAAGTAGTTTCTTGCATCTTGGACTCGCAGGGGCTTAGGCTTAACGACTTAGTTCCTTGTTTCTTTGGGAAACTTGACTTAGTTTTTTCTTTCATTCTTCCTTCCCTTCTCTTCTCTTCCCTTTCCCTTTTCCCTTTCTCTTTTCCCGTTGCCTTTCCCTTCTTTCTAACATATCCTTCCGGTGTTGAGTCTCATGCTTTGTACAAAACATATTTGCGGCATCAATGCCTTCCGCCATCCCTGCCTCGCCAACCACCTCCCTTGCTCAAGGTGTACATCGCCGAGAGCTGGTCCGACTCTAAGAGCTGCTGGTGAAGCCCCAATGTCAACAAAGCCTCACGGGTCTCCTGCGCCCAAGCAGAGCGTGGTGTGCGTGTGACAGAGTCTGTCTCAGAATGAAATCATTGGAGGACAGCATGCGGTTTTGGGCAGTTGTTTTTGCATATCGATCCTTAAGTTGTATGTACTCTCGGTTCATTGTTCTTCTTGCGCTAGGTCTCCCCATTTTGAGATATTATATATATATATATACCGTTTCACGCTCATCTTTTCTCCATAGTCGAGGGATCCTGCACAAGG